GTGGCCTGCCTGCTTGCTGTCCCAGGCTGCGCTGGGCCTTTCCCAAGAAGCTTCCGGTAGGCCCCGGTAGGCTGAGGTCCAGTCCACACAACTCAAACACTGGGCCTGTAGTGGTTGCTTGCGCCCAACTGTCTACGGCCTGTGTTAGGCCCACATCCCGTATCCAGCCCGGGTCCTGCCTTCGATACATTCAAAAAGGCTGGCCAGGGTGTGGGTTCTTCCAACTCACTGGCGCTGCGCAACTGCCTGAATTTCCTTGAGTTGCGTGGTCCCTCAGGCCCTCGCCGTGCCTGCCTTTACTTAGGGCGGTCGACGTGATACTTGGCAGGGCCTGAAAGTGGGCTCATAGGGGCATAAGCCTTGCATTCCCTCCTCCATAACTTCGCTAGTCCTGTGAGAAGTTCAGTCTTCAATGATCTGGCGCTTTCCCTTCTGCAGAGATTTCTCATATTGAGCTACGATCTGAGGAGCGGTCTGCATGAGTTCTTCCTCCTTTGGATCCAGATGATGTCGGAACCGAACTCTGTACTGCAGCTTCGGTTTCGGAGGACGTCCCCTGCCTGTCGGTCTTGGAACTGGCAACTCCTGGTCATCCACGATGTCGTCTATGTCCACCTCTCCATCCATGGTTGGGGGCAGCATTGAGCATCGGGAAGGAAACCGATCTGTTTCCTTGGAAGGTGCAAGCTTGGAGGCGTGAAAGATAGGGTAAGTGCGTAAGTGACCAGGGATGCGAATAACATAAGACGGGCCATCCGGTTCATTCCCCACGACATGCAATACCTCCCATGGTCCAAAGTACTGTGGCATGAGCTTGCGGGAGACCCCGTGCTCCTGTCGCAGTTTTGAGGACTTGACCCGGACTCTCTCTCCTACCTGAAACGTGGATGGGTGGCGGTGTTTGTTCTCAGACTCTATCATCGCCGCCTGTGCCTTGTGCATCTGTTCAACAGCCTGCTGCATCAGCTGCTCATATCGATAAGCAAACTCTAAAGTCCCAGGTGCAGCAGTCGGCTGATTGTCAGGTAGTATAAAGTCTAAAGGCAGTCGGGGTCTGAAGGTCAGTAGCAAGCTGTTAGGACTGACTCCAGTTGCGCTGTGCACAGCATTATTGAACAAACTGGCGATGAGGGCGAGTTTCTCATCCCAGTCTACCTGATTTGGCTTGATGTAATGCCTTAGCAGGTGTTGTACAGCGCGGTTCATTTGTTCAGCCTGCCCGTTTGCTTCGGGATGACTACCTGATGTCATCTGCAGTTGAGTGCCTTGCTCTGCAGCTGCTGCTTTCCACAATTCACTGGTAAATCGCACGTCCCAGTCGCTAACGATAGACTTTGGTAATCCAAAATCTCTAACCCAATTTTCTTTAAACATTTTAATCACATACTCCGTCTTAGCTGTTGCCGGCATTGCAACTAACCTAGCAAACTTACTAAATCTATCCACAATGACGTAGATGTAGCGCATTCCACTCTTGCTGGTGACCAGCGTATCCATGAAATCCATGGACAGGCTTTCACCAGGCCTTTCCGGAATCGGAAGGGGCTTCAAAAGCCCAAGAGGAGCCTGAGTACGTGGCTTGTCCCTTTGACAGACCTGACAACTCTCCACGTACAGCTTAGCATCTTTCATCAATGTGGGCCACCAGAACCGCTGCAGCAGATTAGCCGCAGTCTTCTTAAACCCAAAATGTCCCGTGGCATCATGACATTCGCCTAAAAATAAACTACGCAAAGACTCCCTATTAGGAACACACAAACGTTTGTTCCCAGCCTTCTCAAGGAACAGCAAGCCGTTGACCAACTCAAACTCGGCAGAAGTCACTTTGTCCTTCACATCGAGTCTGCGGATGATCTCAATCATGAACGGATCCTCGCGATAGGCTTCCACCAGGGACTGAGTAACATTGTCCGCAAGATTGAACTCAGTAATCAGCGCACCTGAGAAATCAGGTCTACGCGACAAGGCACCAGCAACCTTGTTGTACTCGCCCTTGATGTACTGGGGCTCGAGGTCATATTGCTCTATGACTTCGATCCAACGCTTGAGAGCGTCAGAGAGTACCGGCTGAGTTCTCATCCATCTCAGGGTCTGATCATCAGTCCTGAGGATGAAGAACGTCCCAAGGAGGTAGTGCCTCCAATGGGTCAGAGCCTTGTATACCGCATAGAGTTCCTTCTCATAGGTGGACTTAGCCAACTTCTGAGACGGCATGTTCTTGGACATGTACTCAACTGGTCTCAACTTTTTCCCCTCCTGTTGTGCAAGTACGGCGCCTATGCCATATTGCCTAGCATCCGTAGTCACTATAAATGGCTTATCAAGATCAGGAAGTTTCAAGACTTCGTAATGCATCAACGCATGCTTCTGATGTCTGAAAGCAGCCTCACATTTCTCAGTCCCCACTCCCATGGGGTGTCAAGGCGGGTCAGATCAGTCAAAGGGGCGGCAACTATGCTATAGTTCTTCACGAAGTTGCGATAGTAGTCGGTCATCCCTAAGAAAGATCTCATCTCAGTCACAGACTGAGGACGCGACCAATCACGAATGCTGGCCACCTTCGCGTCATCGGGCTTCAACCCTTCCGCGGAAATCTCATGACCCGAGTACAAGACATGCATGCGGCCAAACTCGCACTTCTCACCGTTGATCTTGAACTTGTGTTGTCGCAGGAGACTGAGGACTTTGTCCAAGTGCGCAACGTGCTCCTCGACATTCTTACTAAAAATAAGTACGTCATCGAGGTACACAATGACAAACTTATCCAAGTAGTCATGAAAGATCTGATTCATAGCGTGCTCAAAGGTGTCAGGAGCATTGCAAAGACAGAAAGGCATCACCACAAACTCGTACAGATCGTACCTGGTCTGAAAAGCGGTTTCGTGTTGATCCTCGGGCCGGATTGCAATCTGATGGTACCCGGACTTCAGATCTATCTTACTGAAGTATCGACACCCTTGCAATCTATCTAGCAAATCGTCGATACGAGGAAGGGGCTCTCTATTTTTGATAGTGATGGCATTGAGGCCCCTATAGTTAATGCACATCCTCAGTGTCCCTTCCTTTTTCTTAGGCACGAAAAGTACTGGAGAACCATAAGGAGCGACACTCGGCCGGATCCACCCCTTCTCTACGAGTTCCTTGAGTTGTCGGCGAAGCTCATCGAGCTCGCCTGGAGACATCCGATAGATCCTACCCTTTGGGATGCTAGACCCTGGGATAATTTCTATCGCGTGGACGACCTCCCTCTCTACAACCCCTGTTGGCTCTTCAAATAGATCAGGGTACTTGGCAACTACTCCCTCTATCTCCGGCGGCWTTTTCACCGGCTCGCCTGCAGCAGAGACATAAACTAGATACATACCCTCCTCCTGATGTTGCTTATAATAATTGTAGAACGCGGCCGCACACATGCATCCGTGGGACTCAATCAAACTACTAGCTTTAAACTTACGTAATCTGGCCCTCCCTCCACCTGGCAAAGTGTGTTTGACCACTTTTCGGTCCCAATCAAACTGGGGCTGTGCCACAGAGAGGTAGTACATACCTAACAACATGTCCATGGGGAGTTCATCACTCACTAGGAACGAGACGCGATGTCTCAATTCCCCTCCCGCGTACGGGAAACAACACTCAACATCCTAGAGGTAGTCGTTGACTGCCATGCGTTGTTTGTTGGCACAGGTCGACTCCACAGCTCGACTCAGGCGCTGCACTTGCCCCTGTAAGCGCAGCCTCTCAACGCACGCACGACTGATAAAGTTCCTAGTCGAGCAAGTGTCATAATAGGCCCCGGCCTTGCGACTGCCAATGACCACCTCGCTGACGAACATCTCACCCTTCGGGGCTTTGACTAGGGTCGTCCAAGAAGCTGGCGGGTCTGATCTAGACCACTCCTCCTCTAGCTCCTCTAAGGACTCGAACACATTCATCGAACAGAGGCTCGATGGGTCCGAATGTGTTTGCAGGTCGACGCTGGAGTCAGTAGCTTGGGCCATCTCTCGAGATGGTGAGGGTGTCTCCACCACCTGGACTCTAGCAGGACCAGCTACTATTCCTACTGGCCCGACATGTTTCCCGGAGCAGTGCCAGAAGTACTAGCTACATTGCTACCAAAGGGATGGGAGGATCCCAACGCCTGCCCCATAGTAGGCGGGATCTTATCGGTCACCTTCTTGTTGCGGCACTTGAATTGGTTATGGCCATATTGACCACAACAAATACAGGCCTGCCGTGTATACCGATCTCTCCAAAAGTCCTTTGTGAGACCCGTCCTCTCCCATGGGGGAGCGTTGGGGTCAACTTGACTCCTTGACCGGGAGCCTTCGCGGCGTCTACCGGTCGCCTTACCTTTTTGAGCTACGGCAACAACAACTCCACCCCCTCAAGCTTCAACGCTGCCAGCCTCTGAACCTACTCCCTCCTGGTAGTTGTCGTCTAACTCGATGGTGGAACCATCGTTATCGACAAACATAATGCGGCCCTTCGCCTTCCAATTGGGAGGAAGTGTTTTCTTCCTACCGTCCGTTGTGGGATTATGTCCATGCCCTATCTTCGCCTCAAGGTCTAGGGCCTTCTTGCTGAATGAGGGGAAGTTGTGAACATTGATGTTGGCCTCACCTGCCAACTGATTCCTCAGAGGCATAGGAAACCATCTCAGGTAGGAGATGAGTAAAACATGGGGGTCATAGCGCACCCCAGGGATACAGATTAGACGCTCTACAACTTCGGTAGCCTCCCCAACTGACTTGAACTGCCTCGTGTGCAGTGTCAAGATCGCATCAAGTCACCCAATTGTTGGGTGACCGCCCAAGCGCGAAAGTCATGACCGTATCCCTACAGCTGTACTAAACCACTCAACCATCTTGTTGCACTAACCTCTAGGTAAGATGCAGCCACAAGCACTTCCTCGTGCGGCAAGGTGAGTTTACACTTCACATAGACCGGCACTGCCCTCAACCAAGTGTCGAGGTCTTCGCCCCTCTTATCCCCTGTGAAGGGTTTAGGAGCGGCGATGGCCGTCTTTGGTACCCTTTCCCCTAGTTCCCCTGAATGTCACTTGACGTCGGCACCCTGAGCAATCCGGAGAGCGTTGCGTGTCTAAAAGGTGTGTGTTCAGCCCACCCCTGTGCCCCGAGTATCTGCTGAGCTGGCCAGCCCTGCACTGGATTATCCTCGCGTGCAGCGAGCCTAGAGGCAATTTAACGACCGCCCCCAAGTGTCATCAGGAATTATTTTACGTCGCAGCAGGACAACGATGACAGTCTATGATTTCCCCTTCCGGTGTTTATTTAAAGACGCCCGGTCTCGTCTCCCACTTAGCAGCAAGCCAAACAAAGGACAAGCAGCAAAGCATGCGTGCTCTACTCCCGGTGGGTTGGCATGGTGACCATGACCCAGTGCTTCGTCCAGGGCCCTTCAGAAAGCTCCGCCCATCTTCCCCCAGATGCTCCACGTGAACATTGCCGACTCTCAAGGTTGAGCGCACTCGACACCTCACAATGAGAGGACCCTCAAGAAGGAACACACAACCTCACGGTAAGAAGTGTCGAAGACGGTAGATAAGATTAAGAGCAACATACCTCATTATAGCTGCCCCCAACCACAGATATGCTCACCAGATGACCTGATGGCGATTGCGATGACCAGTCACTGCATCGACACAACCAGCATTGTCTCGCCGTTCCACCTCAGCATCAATCAACCACCAGATAGTTCTCATCACACTGTGAACACCCAATGTACACACCATAGCCTTCCTGGCGATCCCCTCACCTCTTGGGTCGCCAATCCTTGTCTCCGGCCCTCCTCACTACACACCCCCTACGGCCTCAATCACCAAGCAGACCGCATGTATGTACCGCATAAGGCAGAAGACAAGCGCCAGATGAGCGCAACGTACCACAGCTCCGATACCAAATTGCAAGGAAGATGAGCAATAGCGAACTTCAGCAATCAAACACCATCATACATATGAGTCCAAATAGTCGTGACCTCAAACCAACAGCAGAATTGCATCACCAGTTTCACCAAATAAGAACACACCAAGAGTTCATAATTGACAATGCTGAAATAGTCCCATCACCATCATCAACGAAGAACCAAAGTTGATATCCT